ATATTAACAGTAGCAACGCAGCAGGATTTAGCAGGAAGCCGCCGGCAGTTAGAGCTGAGAGAGCAAGAAAAGGCTGTACGGTGACAGATAACGCACGGACTTTTCTCCAACTAGGAGCAGAAGAGGTGATTGTACTGTGATACAGTGCGTCACAGCTCGGTCTGATGGGCAAGTGACGGAAAGAGCTCCGGTATAAAGTAGTCCTGTGGAAATAGTCTTGGGCTTGTAGATGTAAAAATTGCTCTTGTCGGTATTCTGGCTTACTTTGTTTTAGTTCCGACTTCTCCAGTAAGAGCTATGGTAGGTTAATAAACAGACAAAGCTTACTGGGAGGGGAAAAGACGAGACCAGCGCCCTCTCGACAACCCTATCCGATGAGGGTTACCCAACAAGCCCCTGTAGTACACGTCGCAGTCCTGTTTGTTCTTAAGAGGAGCCAATGCCAGTGTAACGGAATGGCAACGCTAGAAAATTTAGAGGGGCAAGGAAACGTTAAACAGCGCACTCTCTAACCACTACTACTGAAAATACTCTGGAATTATTACTACAAGTTCGAAGTTATGTTTCGGTCTTCTTTTCTTGCTGAAGATTTCCTCAACGTCACAACAGCAGTATTGTACGGATTTCGGTCTGATTTCTCGATGCCTTGCTTTGAGATGTTTTTTGATTTGTTAGCTAGTTAGTTAGTTAGTTAGTTAGTTAGTTAGGTTATTATTTTCTTCTACAATAGGGCAAGCTCGAGATCTTTTTCCTTTTTCCTTGGTGACGGAACGCTGTCGTCGTTGAATCGACCCCGTCGCTATTGTCGGTGTTCCCATCGTTGTAGCGGCTGTTCGCTGTCCGAGTCCGACTGCCCTTAGTCGGTTGCCCGGAAGCCTATGGGGAGCTTCTCAGCCAGCTCGAATCTTCATGACAGAACAGCAGTTGCCTGACAAATGAAGAATCAACACAATCGGCACAACCCCATGGTAAAATCACTAGGGACACTGCAGCTACATCCGCATCGGAAGCACTAGCAGAAAACAAGTAACTCCATGAGCTCCGCTAAAAGATGAAAATTCTTGCGTCCTTGCACAAAAAACAACTGGGTTGCTAGCGGAATCGACCACGTTATAGAGTTGCCGTACGAAAAAGAAATCCACTTGTGATTAAATCTAGTTATCAACTGGAGCACCATGCTCTGGCTTATCGAACTAGGATGAACCGGCCATTATCACGACTAATATCGATCGCTCGGTTCGCTGGCGACGGAATCGTTAGCGATCAACGTGAAAGCTGCTGATAGTGAGCTTGGGATAGATGGCTTGGGAACGGTGCTCCGGGCGGGAGGTTGTTGGGTCACTCCGCCAATGGTTGAACTAATCCCGTGAAGAAAATCGTTAAAGAAGGGTGTCATCAGAACAGAGTGTCATTGCTGGTTTGGTACGGTTACTGCTAAACGTTGGATTGACTACGCGTATATCCTTTAGCGAAATCGCAGTCGCTAAAAGGGTATAGGGAAATGAAGACAGGCTTCAACACTAGACTGTATTATGTCTTCGTATGCAGGGAGCACCGTCAATCCGCCGTATTACTGCATTTTAAGTTTTCCGTGCAGAAGATCTCCCTGGCCAGACACTTCACACTCTTTTCTTCCATTCTACGTCATTGCACTACAGGCTATCAGCACACCCACGCAGGCGTTTAACTAATTAACACGAACTCCAGCAAATTCGAACATCAATAAACTTCAACAGCTTTCACAGTAAATGATCCGACACAGACGACATCGATCAACTCTGATTTTCGATAGTACAACACATATCTATCTGTATATGTCAATGAAAAATATGAAACGAAGGACGAATACACTACTTGCTATGTTTATGGACAAAATGCTGGCACTCATTCACTAACTGTGAGCCAGATAAAACACAGAGAACAGAGGTGGCTCGATGCAAAACTTCACAACGTCACCTCATAACGCCGCACTATTGTTTGACTACTCTGATATTCACTTTTCACGAACACTTCATTATTCCGAAGCTTTCCAACCTGCTATATAGTGGCTTCTACCGCACTGTTCATCACCTAATAGCATATTTGGCATTTAGTCTTTGTTCGTAACGCATTGCCATGTCGTTGTAGTACCCAGAATACCTCATAACAATAATCATGACAACGATATACAAAGGGAAAATAAGCACAAGATACTAAGCTAAAGGGCACCACAACAAAAGCTGATATCCTGAAGGGCGCACGATATTTCTTGCAAGAAAAGAGACGAATAAGTCATCCAGTCAGTAAATCCACCATGCCGCGAATGGTAGTTCATCAGAAGACGGGCAAGTTTATAGAATATGCGGAGGGTCAATAGATTTCTAGCAGGCGGGCTCTACCAGAAGCTAACCTGAGCGTAGCTTGGACCTTGAACATTACTTGCTGAGGTACTTCTCGTACGGCAGTATTCTACGAGATACAATCATAAGGGCACATAACTCTATTTCTATTATATCTTAATGAATGTTTAATGGAAAGGTTTTAAAGGAGATCCAAAGTTAACTTCCGATCGCTTCCTCAACAGCTGTCGCTTTGGTTGTTGCACGCTAGATATAATGGGAATAACGAGCACTGGTCTACTACGTTAAATTTTGATAACGATTTATGATACTGACTGAGTCAGTTGTAGCGGAAAGTGACGCAACAAAAAGTTTAGTAATAGTGGCAGCAACAAACACGATGGTCTCAACAGAAATACCGGCGGTATTTTGTCTTTCCCCACGAGACATTGTCAATGCCGTGGCCGCCAGGCCGCTGCTGCTGCGCCTGCGACCAGCGGCAGTGTCACTTGCTCTGTTTGGGTTAGATCGACGGCTGCAGATCAGGAGAACCGGCGGTGGCGGTAGTAGTGATGGTAACGGCAGCAGCGGCAGTCGTCGAGCGCGCGGGACCTGCTCTCGAAAAAGAGGAAAGGGGAATTCGCCCCCATAAGGAACAGAGAAGCCGAAGGACGTCTAGAATAGTTGAAGCGAGGCCGTACTAAAGCTGCTGCCAGAAGAGGATGAAAAGGAAAGGGCGAGGGTGCTAAGGACGACAGAGACCCTCTCCTGTATGAGCTCAGCTCTCCACAGTCGCCTACAGGCCAAGAGTCCCACGACAGCAACCAAGCAAGTGCGAAGACCTGACTAAACGCGGCACGCAACAAATGAGGACCCGAACCCAACGAGGCGTAAGGCCTCGCCAAAAGCAGCCCCACTCCACCCAAGCTTCGAGCAGCGAAAATAAAAAAACAAGACAATAGAGTTTTATTTCGTTGGCGATAGGCAGAAAACAGTACGAGTATTACTAGAAGCTCGAAATTTTTTAACTTTTTCCTCACAGTTATTTCACGACTTGATTCGGCGCAATTTCTATGGACCGCGAACTGGATCCTAAGTTCAAAGCTTGCAGGTCAAGCAATTATTGCCTCTAATAAGCTGTGTGCTTCTGCCTGACACAATGTGTTCTCTTGTGACACCAACAGACTTTTCATAGCGTTAATGAAGTCTTATTCTCCTGGTCGTTCTATTTTTAGGAATTCCACATTGTGTCGCAGATGGCTACACGGTGAGACATCAGTAATGCTGCTAGCTTGGACAGCCACATGTTAGACTTCTCCTATACATTTACCTATATCGATATCAGCAGATGCTTTGAATGATGGCATCAAACAAGGGAACTTTTGCATTGCCGGTCAAATCTCGAAGGAGACAAGTTAACCCGTCTTGAGAATTATAGTGAAAAACTACACTAGGAAGATGCCAATTGTAGACGCTTGCTATCATAGCTTGTTGTTATCGTCGCTATTCCATCGGAGGCAAGAAAGAGTGCAACCAAGAAAAAATTTTCTCTCATTAGCTTAGCCTCAAAAACCTATTGAGGAAGAAATCTCGGTATCAACAATGGAGCAATTGGAGACGCTCAAGAAAAAAGGATATAATTATAATAGCAACCTTTTCTATTGCCATTTGAATTTTAGTAGAGGATCAGAATATGTCTACGTCCAGATTGGACCCTAGGTTAGCTCTGTATCAGTAGGCAAACACGTTACTACTGTAGCTTCAAGGACAAAAACTCCAAGCAGCATTTAGCCTGGAGGATCTTCATGTCCCTAAACCAAATACACGGGAAATAGCGCTTCAAAGATTCTAATGAAGATTAGAATTACAGCATGCGGGTGAAACAATATTGAATTCTATGAACAGACAACACAACGTCGAATACATTGGATCTTGTTATAATCCTTAAAATGTCAGTACTAGGAAAAACGACTTAAGGAGGAGAGCACACAACTTCATCGTACTACATGTCCTTTTTTTAGAATGTACGTTAAGTTTAGCTCAATCAATTCTTTTCTTTAGACCCCTAATAAAAAGACTATCATTGCCAATACGTTACTATAGAACTCGTCTTCCTCTCCTAATAACACCGTTGTTGGCGCCTTAATTCCTTGAAAACCTAAAGGCCAAAAATAGCTTTATGCTACTTCAGCCCCACACGCATTAAGGCCGTACTGGAGACCCCTTTAACGATGTGCTGTTAACGACCGTAAAAAGTGCCGCTTACTATAAAGTATAGCTTGCATATTGCCTAGGTCTTACGACCTTCTTGCAAGTCGGCTAATGTAGAAAAAAAGCCTTGCGCTTGCTGGTTCAGCATGCAAAGAAATGTTCCCCGTAATCCGGCGATGTCAGCCAAGCTCATGTTTCACTTAGAAAAACAGCTTAACTCAAAGCTTCTGTCGACAGCCACTAGGATTAGTACCATTAGGCCAAAACACTGATATCAGCCTGCTATTACTTTCTGGCTGTTTCTAGTTCTGCGATCTCAATGAAAACCGTTTCAGATTGCCAGCGGAAAAGGTGGCCTCGAAACGCTGCTGGTCTCAATATCGTCTCATAATGGCACTAATCACAGTTCTGTACAGCAGTCTACGCTTTGCCTTCCATTCGGAGAGCGAAATCGAAAAAAGCATTAATAAGAATCATTCCGTGTCCCCTTTTGTCCACATCTTTTGTTTCTGTCAATGAGTTATTTATTAACAGTGGCGATCTTTGACCTGTTTTGACAGTTTGGAAAATGCTGGGTGACGGTTATGGCCGGTTATTTTTATATATATATATATATATATATATATATGAAATCGGACTGGCTTAACTTCGTCGTTGGCTGGCAGGAACGAGCACTTTACAGCTAGTCGCTCTGCGCTTATATAGTTGTGCACGTGTGTTTATTCATTAACTCATATTACAATGCTCACACGGACTAGGCCACACTTATCCGACGTGGTGTCTTCATCACGCAACCGGTGTCTGCTAGCGCTTAGTGGGTTCACGTTGTGCTGTTTAGTTTCCCGGAAGCAGTTGCCCACGGGTGCGTGTCGGACGGCGTCTTATTTTTCCAAAGCTGGATAGCTAGTGACACAACTATCGGTCCTGAAAGCTGTCGAGGATGTCTTGCAAGCACCCAGCAACAAACGCACACAACCAAGTTTTCTGTCGTTTTGAGGCCTTCGTGCTTTCGGGGCAGTAGATGTAGTGAATGCCGCCGTTCTTACTGCTCAAGAGGGTGAATACTTACCTTTCGTCAGTGGTCAAGTGGTCAGCACATACATTGCCACGTACATAGAATGGGACTCATCTTTTCTCGCAAGCCGGTACACCTTATACCAACGTGCGCGCACCTAACCTAACCTAACCCATATCATCTCGTCCAAAAAATAGCATGCCACTCGTCGGCGTACGGTTTTGATTGGGTCCGTATAGCCCCGATGATTAATAGAAAACACAAATGCCTTGGTTGATTTGGCAATAAGGGTCGTTATCTCCTAGGAGTGACCTGAAATACTACGCTTTTCTTGAGAATGAGTCCATGGATCTTACATCCTGTCCGCGAAGCTTGTGCCGGGTGGCTATTGCACCATGATGAAGTTGCCACGTGTCAAAGTGAACATCTGGGTTAGCGGACCGCAATAGCGCCCCAAAGTTTCACAGTGCCAGCATATCTTCGAGTCTGATTTGCCTTGCTTTGATAACCGCGACTCCCACCTGAAGGTCTTACACATCGATATAGTCTCTCTCGGAATAACAACAGCAGCCAGTATCTTCTGCTGAGTGGATGGATCTTTGAAGGCGGACGCCGGGTTCTGCTAGCGTATAGTCTTAAACCACTCGAACTAATTTGGCGTAAGTATTGACTCTGGTCGCTGTGATGCAGTTTGCAAAAGTACCCGATTTTGCAATTCTTTGGACGTTAATCGAAAACACGCTGAATTTGAGCTTGATCCCCAGCTCATTCAGATCTACATTTGGCACATGTAAACGTTTACCCATTCTTCCTGTAGAGGCAAAAGGACTACTCAGGCCACTCAGATTCCCTTCAAAGGACAACGATCGTAGAGCTCTTTTTGAAGTCGTGTCATGTATTCGTGTCCTGCGCGTGCGAAGTGAACCACACTCAAGACCCTTCCCACAGACACGGACCTGCTTTTGCTATTATCTGGTCAGCCGACTTCCTGAGATCTTTATTTAGGCGCTTAGATTCCTTTGCCCAACTTTTCGGACGGCCCTCGTTGAAGGCCAGTTCCTGCAACTTCGTCCAGTTACCTAGGGACTAGACACATCGGCTAACCGACGTATTCATATGGCCAAGCGTCCCACCGGTGCCATTAACGTAAAACGATTGACTACAAGGAGTGCTTTACAGCCGCTCGCCCTGCGCCTAGATCGTCGTAGACAAACTTATCCATTAGCTCGTATCGTAATAGTTACACTATTATAGAATAGGATCGAACGCTCCCGCGAGCTTTGCCCCGCGTCAGTTTTGCCATTGAGTAGCTTTTAATTGACCTGGATGTCTAATTACATGTATAATAGAGAAAACAAAATAGCTACCAATCTATCTTTTTCAAAGCAGCTACAATCTATCTTTTTCTTAGCTTTTTTCTATAATATAACGTAAAGACGGTTTGTCATGCAACATAAGCTGAACACAGTTATTCACGCAAGCGATTTTTACGAAAATATTTATTTATACATTTGATTATATTAGCGCGGATCGTACTAGTGACCTACTTAGTGTTTTTAAGCGGTGGTGCAGAAAATGAAAAAGGTTATTGTTTGCGGTTTACAACAACCAGACAGTTTAACATTACGCTCTACGGGCAAAAGCAATCTTCGCTTCTCAGGCGCAAAAGTATTTGCCTAATCGGCTTCATCTTTTACGCAAACGTGCCCGAAAAACAAGAGAGCTCTAGCGACCTATAAAAATAAGGCCAATCCTAGCTCCTTTGGGTTGGACAAGCCCACCGATTTAGACTCTTAGCAATAGATAAATATATACACATCTGCTACCAATTCACCCAGTCGACCAACGCATTGTTACTTAAGACGATAATCACGTACTCAAAGCAAAGGGCCTTTGGATTTACAGAGCAGCCTTTGAAACGGCCGGGGTGGGGGGGGGGGTGCCTTAGTTAACCACACTGTTCGCCTCCATTAGCACTTGTTAACCTTTCTACCTACAGTATCTGACTTGTCTGGGTGGTGGATGCTTGCTTTCGATACGGGCCTTGGTGCAGTCTCTACTGATGGTCAAAGGAGTCCAGCAAAACTGAAGGCACACGAGGGGTTTACGTCGAAGACCTACTCCTTGTTCTTTTACAAGGACGAGTAATTTTGGCTAATCTGCTCTTGAAAATGCTTTGAACAAACATCGACGAGCAGAAGATGCTTGCAGCTAATACGATAATAATCCTCGTCCAGTACCAGAGGCGTTCATTGAAGGAAATGGAACGAGATCCAACTTGTGGCAAGGAAAACTCCGATCCGTAGATTCTCTCGACACGACCCCACTTTAGCACTAGCACACATTAGTACGTCCGATTAAAACATGTAGTTGTTGGTACTCAATTGAAAATAAAGGAAAAAAGGTACTAGTAAGGTAGATAATACACTTGACATACGAACGCCGTACATAACAACGTGACAAACGTCTCGAACGGTAATAGCTATACTAACGAGATCTCCATGAATCTTGGGAATCCCTAGGAAGCGCCGCTGCTACAATAAAGCTGATGGCAGAGCTTCTTGATTACCGTCGATTGTCGCTGCTACCAAGCGTAACGACACCAATTTCCCTACCAACGACTATTCTATACCAACAACTTCGACAGGTCGACTCTTCAAATATTTAGCTTTTTCGCTTTGTTTTGCCCAGCGCTACATATAAGTATTTGAAATATCGTTAGTTAAAACGTGCTGCCCAAATTCAAATGAGACAGATGCTGATTATGGTGAAATTGTTATGCCTAGCTTAACCAGAATCTACATTGCGTCGATTGTGTTTAGCGATCCATTACCAATCAAGGCTTTTATGTGCCTCAGGTTGCTCGAAGCCTGTGTGCCGATCGAGATTCTCTGAACGGACAATTGGTAAAGTAAAGAAGAAAAAAAAATAGCGCCGTGGTCCGTATTTGTTCTCATTCTTTCATTTAACTAGCAGACGATTCTACGAAGTTGCACGCATAGATGCCTAGGCGTTGTTTCTAAAATTTTCATTCCTGTCACCGTGCGACGTCTGCCAGATAATGCTACATAAGAAAATCAATTAACCCGTTCCTCTCAGGTTGACTCAATTGATATTTGGTGCGCTTCCTCAGAGAAGGGCATCTCGATAGGAATATTTGTTACCACGGTGATGTGCTTCGATGCTTAGAATCTTAAAAAACGCTGTAATAATGGAAGGACACAACGTTCTTTAGCCTATCACCACCATTGATGGCAAAGATCTACTTACCGTTAAGGTCTGTCACGGAATTGGAGCGGCTTTTATCGACCTATATGAAGGAAACCATTAATATGCACACAAGGTCAGTATTTGAGTAGGTATTCTTAGAAGCGTACTCGTATAAACGTTAGTCGCCTGCCTTTCGGCCAAATTTGCCTTTGATCGTAATCTATTAAAGATGCCTCATTCCATTGCTGAATTACCATCATTTATGTTATCTATCAGATTCTATACTAGATACAAGATAAGTGGACCGTCAACTTTTAGGACTTACTTCATGAGTGGACGACAAGATGCACCCCGTCGAGGTTTGATTATTGTGCGGCGGCGGCGGCGGAGCCTGCCGCTCTCTATGCCCATTTTGGCCTTTGTCATTGTTCTGAAAAATGTTCGACGTCTATAAGATACTGTGATACACGAATGAGTTTTCTGTGAAAGTTAGATACAGCGGGATAAGGGTTTTATAATCAGTAAACACAATTGAAATGTTTAGATACTTCCTGTTTACTTAGCTGTAAACCGAGCATGTTGATCTGTTTCCTAAATTGCGTTACTAAGATAATCAGCTAAAATTTATTCGTCAGAAGAAAATATTGAATTCGATGCGCAAAAAAAATATCAACTGTTGGAGCACAAAGGCAAAATGTGAAGTAAGTGATCAGTCTAGTAAAACAAACAGGGTATAGAAGATGTATGGCTTTTATCAGTAACACACCTTTGGTCGCAATTTAACCTTGTCACCACTGTCCTTGCGTAGGATTGGCAGGGAGTTGGTTTTTGCGGCATAGCTTGTGCACGCATGCAAGAATCGCATCGCTTTGCTTGACGAACACTTCTTGCATAGCCCTTTCTTTGCGCTATCGCCATTGGATTTTGTAATGATGGGCTTTCCGCAGAGACACACTTCAACCCGTTGAACCGCGTTTACTGGTGATGGCGAAGGAACTTGAGACGCACCGGCATAACTATTAGAGACACTGCTTGTGCTGCTCAATGTCATGGTTGCCCTGTCCCCGCTACCACTGTCGCAGCTGGCGCTCAGTAACTCCGCGACCGCTGGATCAGTTGACGATTTGACCAGATTGTTGAGAATTTGCTCACTCCGATTTAGTTCGTACAAGGCTATATCTGGAGAAGAGCTCCGGTTATCTGGCTCTATAGACGTGCTCCGAGTCATCTGCTTGCATTGTGTCTGCACATACTGCTCTTGTTTGTACTGACTTTGTGTTACTGTAGAATTTTGCCCCGGCCTCGGAAGCGGGATACCTCTGGCCGCAGCTGCACGGAGCGCCTTGGACGGGCGTACCGGGCTGAGCTCTGCTACTGAGGCCCTTTCGTGCGCGGAGGCTCGCATCAGTAACTCTATGCCGCGGCTCGTGGTTCCTTCGCCAGTTTCTTCCCTTTCATCGTTGGTGACATCAATTTTACTGCTTCCTCGGCCGCCATGCCCTAAAAAAGCATCGGCTAAGTCTCGCGTTTTCCGTCGAATCGGTAACTGGGGCTGTGATGCCAACTGTGGCAGCTGTTGTTGCTGTTTGTCCTTACTCGTGACATGCCGTTGACCTGATTGTTTCTTGAGCTCCATCGTGTGCACGCCGGAGCTTCGCGATTCCATCGTGTCGGTACTTCCACTGGGAATCGAGCTCGGGCCACTACCCGTCGATAGACAGTCCTCACTATCAGTGTGAACCTGGCTGGGACACTCTTTACCGACAGGCTCGATAGTTGTCAGAGCGGAAACAATAACCTTTTGTGAGAGCATCTGGTCCGAAACGATTTTTTTTAAGGGCGACATCTTAGCGAATTCGGCATCAAAACTAGCCGATATCGTATCTAATTGGAGATTTCGACAAAACGATTCCAACGATTCCATTGAATTTTCAAACTCTTGTGAGTAGGAATCAATTAAATGATCTTGAGGTTTGCCTTTTTGGATTCTGGGTGTGCTGTTGCTATTTTTATTTGAACTATTATTATTATTCTCCTCACTGCCTCGTTTCTCTAGAGGACGACAGTTGTGCGGTAATTGGCTTTTTTCCTTGCTTGACGGTATTACAAGTGATTTTCTCTGTTCTGAACTACGCACGTTCGAAATTATCTGCGATAGGTCCGGGTTCGATTGCAAGACTGCAGCATTCTTTTCCAAGGCGCTTCGATAGCTGATCAAAAGAGGATGTCGAGACTCTTCAAAGTACACAGTTTTCTTGTCATTCACATCTTGTACCTTCCTGCCTTCATCCTTCTTTCGGTCGTGCGCCACGTCTTGATTTCTTTTAACCTCATACGCGATATTTGGGTCCATAAGTTCTGCGAAGAACTTTGCACGGAGTTGTATATTGGTCTCCTTTGTAGACAGTGGGCGCTGAGTCGAAAAACTAGAGTCGCGTACTACAGCTCCGACTGGACTTCGGTTTTCATTTTTACTTTTGCCTTTGGGTGCAGAGTTACTGTGTGAGCGTTTTACTCGCGCAGGAGCCTCCGGTTTAATAGGAGATGGTATTGGACCCAATTTACGGTTCGCTTGACAGTCAACCAGCGTTGATACCTGACCTGGGATCGAAGGTACTTGCGCGAATTTTCGTTTCGGTCGGGTTAGCGTTGCCTTGAATTCTGCCTCAAACTCCTCAAACATGTCATCGCTAAGTGTAATTGCAGATTGTTTCCCCGACTTTGGTAAAATTTTCGGCGGTACTTGAATCGGTTTTTTAACCGCGGCTGGTGTAGGTATGGCTTTCACTGTGACGGGTGATTGAAGCTGATCTTGATCTTGCATGATCTTCATTAATGCCGCATTGAGTTGGTTATCAAGGGCCTTAAGCGTTTTTGATTGGTAAATAGATTCACGTGGGGAGGCTCCAGGTGATTCATGGAATTTTTTCATCAGAGCACGGTTTGTTTTATTAGAAATGCTTTCCTCCGATGTCCAAAGACGTGTGACGCAGCTATCATTAAGATGGTCGTTCTCATTCAAACTGTCACAAGATTTCGTCTTCCGAGCGCCGTCTACAAACTGCCAGCTAGGCGATACTTCTCCTGGGTCGCAGAATTCCTCCGGAAACGAGTCATCCAATTCTGAACGAGTGCTGATATTGCTTACATCACGACGGAATCCTCGTCGAAGCTCACGTGGAGTTGAAGGCAAAATTGGAACCGTTGAATTGAATGATTCGGACACGACCAGAGCATCTGGAGTACTTGTCACAGACGACGGCCAATACGATGAAGATGACTGATCATTAAGAACAAGGATGTGGGGATTATGAGGGATTCGCGGTGTCGGTGACTGTTTTCCTTTGGATTCAGGTGCCGAGTGTTCTAAAGCAGGTGAAATAAATATATATATGTTGTTATCTGATAAGTGACATATAAGTAAAACACAGTGTAAAAAAGCTACAAGCAAATCTATTTATTGCGTTCCTACATTACCTTTGACTTCCTCGTCAATATTGTCGAGTCCTAAAACAAGAGCCTGAGTCAGCTTCTCGATCTCTCCAATGTCCATGATAATCGATTCATCCAGATTGTGTCCTGCGTCCAGAAGAGCATCAATACCTGCTTGGCCACAATGGCGACGGTCCCAGCCACTTTGAAGGCATTGACCTCGGCGAGCAGCGCTATTTAAACTCGAGTATCCCCAGGCCGAGCGAATAAATGGCCCTGATGAAGCTGAGCTGGCTTTTACCTCTGTAACCGGGCTGGCGAAACTCATGTAGGCTTTACCACTGGACGACGACGAGGATCGTCTTCGCGGCGGAGGTATCGGCGACATATTCTTGGATGAGGACCCTTTATGACGCAACTCTTTCTCAGCCTCACCAATGAATGCCTAACCATATGCAATAAATTGGAAATAGTGCGCTTGTTACCGTTCGTTTCTCTAGGACGTAAAAATTGACAGTCATAGTAATGCAATAAATAAGCTATGAATCGTCTTGCCACTTAAGAGGGATCTCACTTCCATCTAACTTAACCGTAGTGTTATATGATTTCAAGGCTCAAAACAGGATCAGGCTGAGTAAAATTACGTAATCTGTTAGTACCCTTAACAACGATTTCTAGGGACCGCGGATACATGATAACACCTTTCCTTAATAATGTACACGTACTACCGTAGAATTTTCTCACTACCTCATGAAAAGCATCCTTTCAAAGACAATGAGACAGGTTACGTTGTCTGGCAGACAAACTTTCTTTTGGATGACAGAAAAAGGTTTATCTGATAAGCGTATCAAAGAGACAGTGATACTGGGTGTATCCCAAATGATGTCACATACAGCACTGAGTAGCACGCTTGGCTAAAATAAAAACCGGTTGATCAAGAATTGATAAGAAACACGATTAATACGTTAACATTTTCAACCGGTGAGTTTGTGCAGTCACAATCTCATATTTACTTAGCCGATTGAATTTCAATTACTCCGCACTGAAAATGTCTTTTTCAGAGAATATTTCCCAGTCTGCGGCAAGTATCAAATGGGCATATGGATGAGCCTACGTGGGCTAGGGGCTACATGTGCCCCTCCTTTCCTTGTTCTAATCAACGTTATCCAACGTCGGTCTTAAAAATCATCACTTTCAACATTTTTCAACATTTTTAGCTGTACACAGTTTAAAACACCGATATAATTTTAACAATTGGACTTTTTATTCAATCGAATTTCGAAAGCTAGAGTTTTTTGAGATTTGTCTTATTTTGGCGGATTTCTGTTCAGCAATAAACATCTAGGCAACCATCTTGCCGTTCAACTTACAAGATAAACTTAAAATCAGTTGCGTTTTATAAAAGACACTACATTGAGTTATGACCGATGTCGGGGGCTATATGAGCCGCTGTATTTCGAGCATATATATGATGGGAATAGGTTCGTACGAATGCGTATATGATGAGTAGCATTAAGGCCACGCTTTTTCGTGCTCATTGAAAACACCGTGAAGACTTTATTGCTACAGCGCATCGGTCGGATTAAGGAAACTATACCAGATCGCGGTAATAACCATCATGGATCAGAATTAACTATAAATAATTACACCAGAATCACGTACAAGCACGGACTTCAGTGCGGATAACTTGGGTTTGCATGACTGTGCTACTGTTTTACTCACTTTTCAACCCAACCCAGCTCGTCGATGTGCCAATATTTGAACCAATCAGAACTCAACTTCACACAGCACAACAGGACTTCATATTTGTGTACGGTAGATGAATCATGATCCCTGACTTGCCTAAAGTGGCAATAAAAGTTTGTAAAGCATCATGTTTTCTAGCTATAACCGCAAGTCTTTCTATGAAGAATACCACTTTTTGTTTAACCTTGTTAGATGATTAACTTCGCTCGAAATGATTAACGGCCCACCTTTGCACTATGGTTATGGCATGTATTAAAAATCCTAGTGGAAATTAGATTTTATTCGAATGAATAGCCGATATTGCAAAATCAAGGTCGAGAGGTGGATCAGTTTAAGGGGAGATGAAGTGTTCAGCGGAACTAAGGCCTGTGATGATGCCTTTCAGTACAGTCGGAGTCGCTAATAGGACTGACTTTTTTTTAACCCGACCATCGCAGAAGGTGCCAAGACGCTTACGCACGTATATCAGCGTATAGGGTCCGAACAGCGAGGAAAGCTTCGTTTTGAGCAAGTAGGACAGGCGTCGCGAAGTTACAACGACGACTCGGCTATGCTGGGAACAAGCGGACGACCGCGTTACAGTTAAACCCTGGCCAAGTGTTAACCTCGAATCACCGTGACCTTGAAGGATTGACAAGAACTAATAGCTGAGTGCAGGAACGGCTCTAGGCCGTGTGTTGGCATACATACGTGAGTTGCGCGACCAAGTGTTTTGACCTGGACCAATAATCCCAGCCATTTCGGACGCTACCATTAAATAAGGACAAGGTGCTGCTCGAATAAACAGGATAGAGGAAGGGCTATATTGCTTACTAATAATTTCGCGTCAAAAAGTTTATCACATAATAAAATTGAAAGGCAAATTTTTTTTCTAGATACAATCATTCACCGTTAAGCTAGACTGATCAAAGGTAAATTCGTATATCGTAGGTCTACATGGAGTTTTGCTACGCAATGTGAAACTGGCTTTCAGGTGCCCCGAGTACTGGCACATAGAAAAATGTGATTTTGTTCGTAGATGAGGAGGGGTGGTAACAATGCACGCACGTTCTTTAAAGCCAGTTTCATTCGAATGAAGCCTGTATAATCATTATAACATTACCTAACTTTTTTTTTTTATAAATGTGTATAGTAAATCTTGATCCTTGATCCTGATTGTCTGCAACATGGTATGTCAACCAACAGCATTTCGTTGTATTAATAAGTTATCAAACTTTCCTCCTGCTTTTATATTAAATTATTCCAGATCTGAGTTGTAAGATACTCTCTATGAAGATCAGCAAGGAGGGGCCCCATGGCATAATGCACCCGCAGGGCAAAGATGTATACTGTATTATACGGGATAAGACCTCAGACCGGATGAAACCTACAGTATCATCAAACTGATGCAGTGTACAGAGCGTGTTACCAGCTAAAGCATCCCGCTTGACAGATTTTTTACTGTCCTTTTACAGGTTCCGAATCATTTCTATCTGTTACATAGTACTATGTAAAAGCCATTCCTCTGCTAAACGATTACAATATCTTGCATCGAGTAAGTGTAAAGATCATATTATTTTTAAGCGGTAGCTTAATAAATGCCTTCCAACAGAAAGCGACACTAACTGCAAAAATACTGGGTACCCGCTTGAAGCTAGAAATATTTCCTTGACAGCAAAAAGCATAAGTTGTATTGCACGCGAGGAAACTAGAATTCTATACATACAGAAGTATTGCACTACCGTTCTAAGTTCTAATAGATGTCTTAGACTGCCTTCCGCCGTAACTATTCTACTATCTAATACGAGGTTTGGAAGAGTCAGTTCTTGCAATTGCAAGGGAAGTTACTTCGATAAATAGCTTCTAATCTCAAACTTTTCATTATTCGAGCTAGATTAACTTGACCTAGTTCTCTCTCCCTAGAGAGACCCAATTTGGACGTACACCTAGACATCTAACAATGCATCTATCTTGATAGACTCTAGATATGATTCAAAACCGAAAACATTTTCATCCCATACAGCCTAGATAAGGCAGCCCGGATCGTAACGAATTGGAAAACATAAATAAATACCTGTGTACTATGAATATAAGTTTAGGTCATTGAATCATATGCTAAATATCACTGTCTGGCTCCTTCCTCTGGCGTTTACGCAGAAAAAGAAGACGCTGAATTATACTTTCGTAGAAACCCAAGTGCGCAGAAGCGCTCTAAGTGAAACATATCGTTTCAAAAAATTGAGATGGAGTGAACAGCGATGCATAGGTGTTGCAGACATTCAAAAAGACTATTTCTGAATATCAACCTCTTAATGGGTTAGGAATGAGGGGTGTAGATGAAGTCATGCTCACATTGGCTGAGTCGAGGTAGACGTCGAGTTCGTGCAGGAGATCCGCTTTACGACTATTCCACGGCGGTGCGGCCTGGGATAGAGATCGAAACTGTTCCACAGGAGTGGATTGAGCATTCCTAACGTAGCGCGCCATCTTGCGTGGCGCTTCTCGGCACGGTATGCGCTCTTGCGTCCCACGCAAAGCCCACGTCTATCGCTTATCTGAAATGAACAAAATCGCACAATCACAAATTGGCTTTTTGTTGTCGAAAACGCGCAAAAAACTAAGTAGACGATTGTAAACATACCTTCCATGGATATGCGACCTGTAAGTAAGGCTGGCTCAGCGCGAGCAATTTTTTGTTAAATTTGCGCGACGCATGATAGCAAAGTGAAACTGACGTTGCTACAATGTACGACATGCGTTTCCTTATTACTAGCTGCTCGTTACCACGTCTACGTTCTGTTGCTGAATGAAACATGGAAAACTACTGGAAAGACAAGGTTGTCTAGTATATCGATTAGACGCAAAAGACACGACACGCTGCTTAAGAGCAATAATAGCTTTCATAGTTTGACGCTGTGTGTATAACTCTGTCGGCAATTTCAAAATCAAGAAATTCAGCCAACACCGTCTGTGTACATAAGCGCTTAAAGTCTTCTAGAGCATAACACTCGTAGTACAGAGAGCCAATAAATGGCGCTATTCAAGATTTTTGTTTCATCAGTATTCTACCCATATAATTCTCACTTAAGCGTCTTGAGACTAGTTTCATATGAACATGAAGTCCAATTATGGCTTGAATAGCCTGCACCACCAAGCATCTGCATGCAGACGTACGATGCAGCGCGCGCGTGTGCTGCGAGGCTTGGCTGTGGTGACTTAGTCGACAGATGTTGCGGTGCTCTTTACGTTGCGCGCTTTTGTTTGAACTAGGGTACTTAAGACGGGGAAGGTTGCCGCTGAAGCCAGCAAAAACAGAGATTCTCCAATTTGCCTTCGCTGCATCGTTTTGGGTTGAATCGGGCCCAAGTTGGGTTCTGCTATTGTTATATATATATATATATATATATATATATATATATATATATATAGGTATAATTAGACTATAAATGGTTAAAATTACCGGCAATTGCGGATTGCTGTCAGTTTCCTCCGGGATATACATTATGGCATACGTGACTGGACACCTAGCGTTGTCCATTTGCTTTTGATAGGGTAACCTTTTCAAACCAAGTTAACAACACCTCTCTGTGTAAAGAGGCCCATGTAATCATGTCGACGTCAGTCATACGTTTATTAGAATATATAAATTGTCATGTATACAAATGTATAGATTAAAAAGAATTCATTTTAGGGACATGAATTTTCTCGCAGGTTACTCCCACGACCTGTAGCGGATCACATATGATGGCTTACAATCATCCGTCTCCATATCCTACAGGTGGCGTTGAAGGTTATAATTTTGACCATCTGCTTTGAAATAACTTCGTACTGTACGTTTGTTCCATTCTGCACATAAGCCAGTGTGTATATCTGAATATAAATCCATTTCCGCCATCCCCATTTCTTTTATCTCACCTTTTTGGGGGATTGCGGCGCATTTGGAATCTGTAACACGGCAGCTGCCGTAAGATGCCTCTGCTGCCAACAACCAGAGGACTCTAGAATGACAAAAACGACCCTTCGCCTATTAGATAATGAATATATGCATTGTTCACCAGCGACCGTACTGAGTCGCCCACCTGGTCAAGAAGGATAAGTTAACTCGACATATATGCAAGCCGCAAAAACTAACGGCTTACTACATCCGCCATAACCTTCTTCGCCCACAGGCAAAATACTTGGGTATGTCTCATTATAGAATCAATGGCGGTGAGGCAGAAACGGCAGAGTAAGACGACCTCAGTTATTTGGAAACATTTGAAGCAAAACACATTTTTTATTCCAGGTTGCAGCGTCGTGTCGAGCCGTCTGTACAGGATGATTACATAAACATTCATATTATTTAATTTCCTGAAACATCGTCCCATTTTCCAGCTAAGCAGTATGATTGTATACGCTTGTACAATGTGTACAGCGGCTTCTAAAAGTATTCGCCGACCGCATCTACCGTAGAAATATTTATATGAATATTTACCTGGTCTAGTGTTTACGTAAGTTGATGCAATAACTTCGGTTAGACATGATACCATCGCTAAGATACCGTAAAAACATAGATCAGCCGTTCATTTGACCTTCTTGCCGCTCCGTATGGCACACAATTCACATCGCAGGTTAACGAAAACGCTGGCGCTTTGAGAAGTCAATATTGCTGCCGAAGGGAATCGGCCATATCCAGAGGGTAAATAATTCTGGGGATGTGATTGAAAGTGGCAAAAATTAGCCATAAGATAGGCTGTTTACCCCCCAAATCGAATAGGATATTCTATAAGATGTGCTAAGTCGTTATCAAAAAACGATATACTCTAATACGTCCTTGATAAGAAGATTCTCACCGTTTGTATCAAGAAGATATCATGGCCGGCTGGCTCATATCGAAGTTTAGATAAGTTTAAATAGAAAGAGTTTGCAACCCTACATAAAAGCATGCCCCGGGGTTCTTCAAAAAGGATCATATGGTTCTGGAACCATATGCTAGGACCAATTTATTATTGAGGAAAATTGCATTCTGTTAATTCAGATTTTATCTCTTAATGCTCAATAATTTCCCTGACCACCACTCCTCATCTTACAGTCTCGAGACTAACCTTCTATATTTTCGTGATCTTCAATCATTGAATGAATAGTTACATTGTCTTTCTGTATACTTGTGTGCGATTCATCTTCTGGTATCAAAAATTCGCAAAATCTTCATAAGTTAGTTCGCCTTTAAAGGAAGTTGTAGCAAAAGTAGCTGAATTGGAATCTTCTTTTGTGTTTCGTGCGGCTGTTTAGTTTAAGATCGAACGGCACGTTAGTACATATTGCTTTTAACGACACACGGCCAAGGGTGACGCGTCATACTTTCTGTCAATTTCTATGTTTCCATGTAATAGAGCAATGTAGGAAATGTAGGCACAATACTGCAATGAATGGTGTTCTAACATTTTCGTAAGTAGCATTTTTTTTGGAATTTAGGAACATTGGTACTGTCAAATCTCTATCAGCTAGCGATATATGTTTTGTTATTGCGTTTAAATATTATTGAATTAAATTGTTTTCTGTGCATATATAGAAAACTTTTAAATAGTGAAGCATTGAATTAGAAGGGCGGACAGGAAACACGATGATCATCGTCCAAGATAAGTTTCGGTCCGCTCTATATGTATGTATATATGGCGAGCACTTTTCTTTTTGACGGTCTTGTAGCTTCGGTCTTCCGCTCCAGTCAATCAATAAAACCTGCACTCATCTCAAATAAGGTTCAGCAGGAAAGGAACACTACATTGAGCTGAAGAGCCGGCTCACGCCGTGGTAGACCGGTCAGCCGGCCGTAGCTTACCACACACACTGAATAATGTCCTTGATCCATTGCTTCGTTACGACCTCCAGCAGCGAGGACAGGAATTGTCTATGTGTGTAAAATCCGTATTGCTCAAACATCGGCAGCAATGCTACGGATGTACGCGTTTTTGGCCAATTCGGCTTTTCTATACCTTTATTTCGCCATTTATTATGAATTCGTATTTAGTAAAACAAATTTCCACGGAATGAAAGTGAAGTGACAGGCTTTAGAAAGCATTTGTTTAGTTAAATGGTTTTCCGTTCGCTATTGTTGCTATGGAACTTCAGAACAGTAACTTCAATTTTGTAGAGGAAATGACGAAAACGACGTACAATCTTCATGGTTGCGGAGTAACGAATGATGATGCAAGCAGTGAAATGCAAATAAACTATGGACTGGGAAACCATGACTGGATAAATCTACAGACTCTGTTGTTCAATCTAGCAGATATGGTAAGGATGTAAAGTTGATTTCAATGAATGTCTACGTTGGCTACAAGGAACAAGTCGTATGGACAAGGGGCAATAATGGGTAAAGTATAAACGTGTTTGTTAAGATCAGGAGTTATCTCCAGATGATTATTATGGAATAGGAGGCCGCCTAACCGACATATTGCCAAGAATTTTTTTTAAAACTTCGCATACGGCTTCAGTCCTTCCGCAACTGTAGTCTTCTGACCTTTAAACCTTTACATTTGCCTCGTGTAGGACGATTCGTTTTCCTTGCAATGATTTTGTGATCCATATATGTTTCGTGTGAATGTTGTTTACGGACACCAAATATTCCTTCAAAGTATTTGTTACCATCGAGTTGGGCTTCAGCCTGCGTTTTTTTAACTACAGCAGCATAGCGTGAGTTCACATTACCTCATGTCTGAACTTGCATCGGTACTCATTTTAATACAATTTCGACTCCAGTAGAAGCTGATCTCGTTTTTCATTCCGCGTAAAGCACGGGGAGGCTCTGCTTTCTGCTTCTGTTTTTTATTGACCTTCGTAGCCTTTATCACCCGTTCGAACACTTTTGAAGCATTCAGTTTATCATAATTTGTCTTAAATATACGCCTGAACTTTCTTTCAGTAGCTATATGTTGCTCCTTGGGTGTGTATGCAGTGTGTAAATCGTATCATTTTATTTACCAGTGTAACAGATGATGCACGAGTCGCATAGCACCTTTCCTATTGTTGGAAACATCAGTGATTACTGAGGACCTGCATCAGATGGTCACTTTTTCGAAGGCTCTCCCTTGTCTTCCTCGACGTCCGAAGGGAACCCTCCAGCCCAGTTAGCAACGCTTGTGTTACAGCTTCTCGAGTGTTCTTCTTAGTCTCCTCTTGAATCTTATCTTGATATGTTTTTTCCACTGTCCAACCATAACATCACATGGTACCGTTTTACCAGAAAACGTCACTACGTGGATTAGTATGAACTAAATTATTGCACTGTGGAATTGGCGACCTCTTTTCTTAAATAAATGTTGCCTTTACGATCTGCACGAGTACAGGCTGAGATCGAAGCGAACCCTAGCCCCTGCGGAGCATAGAGTCGAATCCAGAAAAATGTCGCCGGCCAAAAATTAAAATATAAGTATTTTAGTTAAAGCAGAATACGTTGGCAACATAAAAACCCTTTTCGCAAATAGCAATTACGATGGACCTTACATGAGGACAAGATGCTAGTCCGGCACTCACGGTTCATTACCAGAAATTCTGATGAGCTCACGACAGTGTAAAACATGGAAAAAAAAACTAACGGTAACTGTCCCAGAAGTACAACAATTTGGCCACTTAGAAGAAGGCGATAATCGTCCGACGTAACTTAAAGCGGTGGAACTGCCAGTTTCAACTGGGTCGAATTATATATAATGTTGAAGAGGTAGTGTCCCCTAGAATTGTACTCAAACTGTTTAAGATACAGACGTCGGGTAGTCAATAACTCAGAAAAGAAAACGAGTCAACAACATGTTAGATGTGCTGCAAAGACGGCCACGTGTACAGGGTCCACCAGAATGCTGGTCACCTTTACGATGGCATTGATGACCACGAAGCGAACAGCTTACGAGTTCCAACCCACACAGGGCAACTTCGCAGGATACCCAGAATTTAAGGACAGATAACATTCTAATGATGGCTAGTCTTTTCGAAACGAATTTAAATAGGTCAAGACTTGCTCTCGACCTGTGGAAGCAGCTTGTAATCATCAGAAAAATCACGCTAAGCATACTTGCTGAGTCCAATAAAACTATAACTGGGCATAACGTATGCTACTGTGACATGAAAGGAAACGTGACTGTTGTCATCTATGACTTCAGCAGAGCTATCATCACCAGTAGAAATCGATAGAGAATGACATAGGTAAGGGTCGATGACCAATCAATTGTAGGTACTTTCTCATCACCCTAGGTAGGGTTTGTCCTTTTCAACAACTGGCCTTACGACCTCCGACCGGTTTAGGAGCTCCGACTCATGCTTCATTTTGGGAATCTCAGCAATATAATTACTTTGCCAAAGATTTCAACGCACATATTACTTCGTGGGGTAAAAGGGACAAAACACTTAGGGGTAACACCCTAGAGGACTAGAAGGCGACAAATAACCTACATATAATTCGCAACGGCACTCACACGTTTAGGCGGCTGAGTTCGTCGTCGGTCATCAACCTCACAATTAGTTCTTGCAATCTCTTGAGTCGTATAATTAATTGAGCAGTTAGGTGGCAAGTCAAGCACCTTGTGGATCATTTCTCTAAACATACAGCATCAATGGTCGCTATAATAAAAATACGTCGACCTTGTACCCAAAAACAAGCACTAATTCAGAAAAACTGTTTGAGATCACAGAATGGATTAGTAGCTCTTAGAAGGATCAACAATATAAAAATTCGCGGCATTGTTAAGTAATCTTAAATTCCGAATTTAAATTATTCTTTATTACTATTTAAATTATTATTATTATTATATTAAAATTTTGAAATTAAAAATTCCGAAAAGGTAAATAGCGGTGTCTAAGAGTAAGTTTTGAAATGGATACTCTAGTGGAATTCGGGTATTAGACGTAAATGAAATTGCATCTTCATTCGAGAAGATCATTAACAGAGAGTATGTTAACTTCCCAATGCCGGGATCGGCCCAAACTCCATACCTAGATATGAGTTGAAAGGACTAAACAAGGCACTCACCGGAACAAACGCATAGGTGGGCTGAACAACGACGCGTGAGTATTAGCCTAAAAGATATGGGTACAAAAACTATTAGCAAGTAGGGCATTTACGACTTCCTTTAACAATGCAGTAACTGTAATGACTAGGCAGGTTCCGTGGGATCTACTGGGACAGGAGAGAACAATAAGATGAATGAAATAGAAGGGTCTCAGAGCCATTAAGCCGCGAAAATTACAGGAAAAATGGCTGCAGGATCAGGTGGGCACAACGAAGATCACGCGAAGGCTGGTCAAAGATGGCAGCTAGTGTTCGACTTGACTCAAATGCTCAGTAGGTACGGATTCTTTGGAAACTGCCAGCTTAGGGTCAAGAAGTCACTGGACGCTGTTTATATCTATTGCACGGAAGGTGTAAATAAACATAAAATATTTATATATTTCTCTCTTTTTTCGGCAGGTGTCGACGCCGATATGTAGCCAGCGTTGGCTTTTTTCCAGTCGCTTGCGTTTTCAGTCAGCAGACATTCTATTTATTCATACTTCTTTGAAGGAGAACGGTTCCAAGTCAAGCCGCCAGCAGAGAAGATGGGCTTTGGGTTGCAGATCGGATGTAGTACACAAGATGGCCAGATTATGCGAGCAGTACACAAAGCATTTCCGCCACCAGCGGCTTCCAATAAAAAAGGCGTTACCGATACCCTCTGACTCCATTAGTATCAGTAATCTAAAATCAGAATTTTCCGAGTGCGACCAATACGGTTACGAAGCAAACTGTGTGCTACACCACTTAGTTCCTTATCCACCTAGTTACGTTGCCAGGTATTAAGAATAGTCTAAATGAATGTCGTCTTTTGCCTCTTCCGCTTTACAGCATCACGTTCATTGTCTGTGTACCGACCATCATCATGGCCGTTAACTGCTGGAGCCGTACTCATCTTTCGTGAGTCACATTTCACCAAAATGAAAACCCTTTAGAATACAAAACTCGACAGAAGGTCGAACAACGGTAAGATATTGAACTCGCTAATCACTCAAAAAATTTCAATGCTATATCTATGAACGGCCAAGTGATACGAAGAGAAGGTACGTTCTAAAACGCGATAAGGGATTAATTCCTTTGAAGCTTTTCGGTAAAGTGACGTATTGGCGAATTAGCTACAGTTCAGTCTGCTGATAAGTTGGTGCCCGATATCGTTGAGGTGTCGCAGAGGGAAGAGTAGCGACGAACGATTGCTGGGGTGAGGCACATACACCCGGTAATATAGGAAATCGAATTAAGCTCACTTTTGTGCTTGAATCTCTACTTGAGTTTGTTTTTACACACCAAATAATAATTTTGCCCTAACTGCCGCGAGCTGGTATACGGCTTACGGTATGCTTGTGATTAATATGCAATGGGTATAAACGTACTTCTATTTGATAGCGTTTCAATGCTAAATGACTACAAATTACTTTAAATGACAAAAAAAACAACGAAAGTAACGGCGTTGCCATTGACGCATCACTTCCTTTGCACCAAGATCCAAAGACTGGCTAAAAAACAAAGCCAAACAGACGTACTTAGTGGCTTCTTCCATAGACGACCTGCTGGGGGACAATTGTCTAATAGCGTAACCGCAAACCACCATCGCTCTTGGTATTTGCTGCGGTCATCGAAACTTACACACAGCTAGAAGATAATGCACGTATGCGACCAATAACAATAGAAGCCGCTCATTAATGGTAATAGCCGAGGGCGGCGCCTTGTGACCAGGGCGCTGGGAATCAGCAGGCAAAAGCGGCCTCACAGAATGGAGCGATAACACGAGACCGAATACTAAAAAGCCGCAGAATATACGTAGGTTTTAAAAAGGCCATTTAGAGTGTAAAAGAAAGCAAAGCAAAGGCAAAACCTATTCTAGGTTTGTTCGGTATGAAATTTTTATTTAAACAATTGAGTCTTCCTGGATGTTAATCAGCCGATATTGCACTGTTACTTCACATCTCATACGTATAATATTAGATATATAAGCGAACATATATTGTATTTAGCCTGAGAACAAATATCGATGCAGTACAAGAAAGCCTTGGGGATGTTCTTAAAAGCTTTGGAAGCTCTCAATCATAACAGAGCTCTGTGCTTGATTCCTGCGAAAAATACATTGCTGACAAAATAGCTATGTTTATCTATATCTGTTTATAATACCGTTGCCCCATTCTAAAATAAGCATAAATCTCAATCAAATGAGTTCTTATCGCGAATCTCGTACAAGATAAGCAAACTTTGGGTAAAATCTTCAAACGGACTTGAATCGAGAATTCATGCTTCAACACAGTAGTGGCAGTCAGACATCAGCGGTACGTCACTTCATGTAATACTTGAGTTTCAAATTAAAATTAAGAATTTCAGACTCTCAAATTTGGCCATTGCTTGTATTATACATCTCTTTGTTTGGTTTATTACCCCGGAACTCAACAAGACCGATAACATCATTATTATTATGCCCCCGCTGTGCTTTGGCATTCTTAAGACGTTATTCTACGCGCTCGTTTGTACCGTCCGAACTTGGTCACCCCTCGAGGCATTACTATGTACAGCTATTATCTTGTGGATGAATAACACAAGCTAATACTAACGGCCAGTCAACGTTGACGTCAAGAAACTCCAGTATAAGCTTCTCTTGTATCATGTAGAAGTATAATTATTCATTTGCAATAAAAAATAGTTTCTCTGCGCTGCTAGGGTCACGCCTCTTAACTGGGGTATTAGAGGGAGACTCGAATGTCTAACTTTCTGTGTGGCACCTCCTAACTTACACGCCCTTCTACTTTTTTGCTAGGATCCGCTCAAAGATACATAACCAGAAGAAGTGCGCCAACGTACAAGCAGTACTTTACTGCCGAGATACTAGAGCACGTATGTGTATTTTTTTTTAAAGCGGGCGTCCTGCCTGGAAGATTTAATGCTTTGTACCCAAGCAGTCTATAAACGGAACTCATGTGCAGAACTTGACCCTCGTGTTGCAGTACTAACTGCACCGTACGAGTATCTCGAACCAGCCTGCTTCACTTACTAAAGCTCGTTCCCTGATTGCGAGTAAAACTCATGGACCCTAGCGTGGCACAAAGTAAGACCAGCACATCTCAGCTCATTAGGCTTACTTATATATTCTCTTTCGAAGTCTTTTGTTGTTATCTAGTGTCTTTTATATGATTCATAAAATATTTTTTATCAAATGAAACATGCAGAGAAAGCAGTTGGACATTTAACTGTTATTTACACGAGCTCATAATGTCTGTTATCACTGAGATATATTGTTATTATTATTCCAAAGTGGTAAGAGAAGTACCCCTTTGACCTAAATTGTCCTGCTAATAGTTAGCCACATGTGTAACTGAGTAAGGCACACAGCCGATAATACGACTGACTCATTGGATGACTGCTTCTACTATTATTTGGCTTGATTCAACTCACTGATGTAAACCGCGATCGATGGGTTCGGCAAGAAGCTTGCTGGAATCCGTGAGAATCATACTGAAACAGAAGCAACCGATCTAGTGGCAAGACATGTATTGGAATTACACCCAAAAGCTGCATATTGCTAACCTCACAGATGTTGAATCAGATCCAAGAATAATATGTCATGTAACTCAACAACGGTCTTTTGGTTTGACTGGCGTCTTTCCTTTTATGTGAAAAAATCCGTTCACCGACTATATAGCTCCGGACTAACTACAAGCACACACCTATAAACAATGACAAAAAAAAAAACAATGACAGCGAAGCCAAGTACTAGAAACGATGCAGCCGTTTTAACAATATAAACATCTGAATATTTTTTTCTTATATGATAAATGTAATATTCGATGTAACAATAGGTGGTAGCCAACAATTGCTCTTCAGCTATATAGAGCCCAAGATCCTTCCACTCAACCATGAAAGATCTTTGATCGAACAATATTTCTGTCAATATGAATCAGAAAAAAACCGTCTATTTCATATTAAAATTAGTTTTAATTCCGCTTTATCTTTTGCTCCTGTTAATCTGTTAGTATTTACAGAAGTTACGCTGTATATTTGGTGTATAAATTTCGATAAGACTGAATGTTTAATAAACTTTTTCACAGAAATTTGCCATAACGACGCATCTTACCCTGCGCAGAATAAGCTAGTATAGGTCGGATAGTACGATACTAACGCACGTTCTAAAATGCCTGGTAAACAGGCCCTATTCACCGATATTTAATGACCGACAATGCCTTTAGAGGCATGCTTTATTGGATACAGACACAGCCTCTTTCGCTCACTTATCATTATGTATATCTACAGAATAATCAAAGAAACGCGCTTCTTCTTTTCTACTGGCCGAAGCAGCGGCTGCGACTAACGGAAAGTGAATTTTCGATGCAGTGACACTCTTCTTTGGAAAATGGAAGATTCATTGAGGCCTTCCTTGGGTCTGTGTCTAACGCATCTCAAGCAGCCTCCAGCGTTACCATCCCATAAATCTTTTCTAAGTCTGTCTCTCTACCTTTCATAAATAATCCCTGAACAAAAAGCCTATCGACGCCTCAACGTAGGCGGAATAGATATCTGCTACATTAAAAGTAGCATCCCTACTTCCTGCATTCAGTCGTTTTTGATCTTTTTTTGAGTATATCCTCGGCTCCGTCGATTTCTCTCTTAGAACAGCCGCAGATTGCAAACCTACAAGCCGGTGATTGTATGGACTATGGCACGCAGAAACTGTAAGAAACGTTTTCCATTGAATAGTTCTATGAGACGAAGTAGTCTGCGCTTGAAACCCTGTTTTGTAGCGGCAGGAGCGGTGGCAATATTCTCGTTGTTACCATGCTTCTCAATATCTTCACCCCTTTAAGGTGGGTGTTGTTAGTGCGTATAAAAAACCAGAACCTATGTCCTCTAGAAGTCCTGACAGCGTAATCAGATTGTTCATTCTACGCCTTCACGGCCTCTCTAATCACGTGGACAACAAAGTGCAACATTTGACCGCAAACACACAGCGACGATTAGACGATAGACAATACGTTGTTCTTTGCCGTCAGCCCATTTTGCCAACCTGCCC